TAGAACACCTAGCCAAGCACTCGTCGCAAAATTTGAAGACGAGATCATCTATTGAAGGAACTGCGCATTCACGTGGACATAATAGTTGAGAGGCTGGAACGAAGGACCCCCTTCTCAATGGGACTTTGAGTGTGCAATTAAAGGCAGATGAACCAAGGTTGATGGCAGTGTACATGTACTCTAACAGTGTTATCATCGGAACAGAACAAGGGCGCTTATTGGAATGTAGTGTGAGAGTACTTACTCAATATGGGAACTCATTAGAATCGGGGCGCTTATTAACAAAAATAAATTCGAGGGGGGCGTTTACCAAAGAGGGGACGTTTATTCTAACGAAGGCGGTAAATCTAATCATTACGATAACCATTAAATCCGAGCGAAAAAGAAATTCGGCCCGTAACTTATTGCATGGACCTCGAGCTCGTATAGTAAGAGGTGTTTAAGTGGACCCATTCTTGACGCGAATTAAGTGTCTAAATAACTGAAGCTGGCCACTGGTGAAAATGGTTCTCGTGACAGGTAGGTAATGGCATATCCGTTCCAGGGCCGCTTATTAAACCAGTTAACAATACACATTTTAGGGAAAGAAAAACACTGAAGTCTTCCTTCGGATTGGCCGTTGTGTTTATGCATGCTCGAAGGACATACTGCATGTGATCGAAACAGTCGAACCATTTACCATCTAGCAGCTTCAACCCATGTAAGGTCGTGCAAAACCAGAATTAAATCACTAGTCGAAAATGAGTAACTTGTTCCAAAACCTCAGACTTAGAAAATTTGACTTCCATGTGAGTTAAACATTTCCTAAAACATTCTACAGCTTTAGAAAGCGGATTTAAAATTTAGTTTCAGCGAGATTTTCATTACTGGACCAGAAAAGCAAGTCCGGACAATCGAAAATCCGGATAATCGAGGTCTGGATAATCGATGTTTGACTGTGCTTTGATTACACATTTACAGTCGACAAAAATGGTGTTACATAGAGTTTTTTTCTACCATTCTTTCGCCGATTAACGCAAAATTATTTATCTTGACACTACCTCTTAGACGAACAAACCAAAGACGCAAACATGGTCTATTAAGATTGAAGGACACAAGTGTCTGTTCACCTTAATTTTATTTTTCTCTGACGAAAACTACAAAAAAGAAATGTTCTCTATTAGGTTCAGCGGTAAAAAAAATGACCCGGCAAAAAATTAGGGTCTATGTATTCGAAACATCATCTTTTTCATCAGTCACTGTGGCTAAAACGTGTAGCGAAATCTCTTCAGTTGCACTCCTTAAAAAAGCAGCGCTAGACGTGTAAACTTTCCTTAACAAATACGCAATTGACGTAGATACATCTAATATAATCATAAAAATAATGTCTTTGTTTACTATGTCTTCACAGGGCTTAGGACTGAACATCAGTTATTAGCAGCCTTCTCTACACTTTTACAAGCATCTTTCAATTTTCCAACCAGATCCTACCAGGACAAAAATAAAATTTAAAAGTCATAATCACATACAAGGGTATCTAAAGACGAAAAGGGGTATATTTTTAAATAAACTGTGGTGTTGTATCGGCGGGGGGTATCATAATATAATTTGGTTTTATAAACTGAGTTGATAGTGTAAATTGGCCTCCGTAAGAGTTTCTGAAGCTGAGGTTTCGAGTGTTAGCCATTCGTCAGAGCGAATAATACAAGGTTAACGCTCCAAACTTTAGCTTTAAAAACTCTGTACATTATCAACTCAGTTAATAAAACCAAATGATGTGAAGAAGAGATTTCTATGCATCTACACACATTCTACAGTGATCGGATTCAAGGTTTGTTTATAAAACTTTAAATAACTAAACATTCGTCAACCTGTAATTGCTCCATTGTGCACGAAAATTGTACATCTTCTCCCTTGGTCTTCCCAGCTTCCTGCAACGAGAAAGAGATGAGCTAACTTCTCATTATGATATAAGGGAATTTCAAGGAATGATTGCGAGATAAAATAATAATTTAAGAGGAAACTATTATGACAATGATGTGTCAATAGAAAAACAAATTTGGTGTAAAACCCAAGGAGACACGGTCACGTAATGGTTAGCGCACTGGAATATGGATTGAGGGGTCTGGGTTCTAGACCTGGCCAGGTCACTGTGATGTGTTCTTGGGCAAATCACTTTTCCTTCACAACCCCTCTCTCCTTGACCCAATAGTATAAATGGGTACTGGCAAATTGTCTGAGAAGCTTGATGAAATGCTGGGAGGTATCCCATCCAAAAGGGGGAAGTGGTGATACTTCTAGCCACTTCATGCTAAAGAAACCATGGTATGCTCCAGCTGAGTGGGCACTAGGCTTGACCACAGACTTTACCTTTTACCTTACATAACACTCTGCCATTTTTCAATGTGGCCCAAAAGTCACTTCTTTATGTAAGAGTGAAGCCTTTGATATGAAAATGATATTTCATTCTTGAGCAAATGACTAGCTGTTTTGGAGGTCAGTCCATACATTCTAAAGTTTATTGAGATTGGTCAGAAAACAACTGACCTGGAAGAATCAAAAAAGCTTGTTCAGAGTTATCTGAGTTTCACAGTAAATCTCAAGAATAAGACATCATAGCGGGTAATTAAAGCAAGAATCTGACATACCGGTACATAAAGAAACCAAATAATGACTACCAGGGATTGTAGAAGTTTAAGTGACTGAACATATAAACTAGAATTGAAATGAAGAAATTCAACAAACTGTACTTGTACTGTACCTCAGTTTTAAGTGTGATGAGATATGTGGGTTTGTTTACTTTCTCCATCTGATTATTCTGATAAAAGACAGAAATAAAAGTAAAGAAATAATTTCAAGAAAAATTAGATGTTTGTTGTCCATGTAGTGACACAGCGCAGGGCATCCAAATTGTACTATGAAACTTTTTCTGAACTTCTTTGCATTTATTCAACTTTTTGTACCAAAGGAGCTGAGTTTTTAAATCAAAGAGGGTAAGTTCCTGGGGAGACTGTTGTGCTACATAAGTGGAGGATATTACAGAAATTAATTGGTTTCATCAACTGAATTGATAATGACTGCAAAGGGGTCACTGCAGCAAGTTTCAAAGCTGACATTTCAAGCAATAGCCCTTCAACAGACGGAATGAAAAAGGGCTAATGCTTAGAACTACAGCTTTAGAAATTCTATTCTGTGGGTAATAAAACCAAACCAGTTTACCTTAATGTAATAATCTAGTCTCCAATCCACATCCACAACATGAGGAAATGAACCTCCTGTTCTAAAATTAGAAGCACAGCAGAAAATCCTCTCAATCAACCAACAATCAATCATCAAGAATCTAGTAACTTGAAAGTCTACAATTCATTGAAAATTTTTTTTTATAACATAGCACGCATTCTTGCCCTATACTGATAAGTCCTATAATGAGCCACTATTAACAAAAGCTTTTCATTCAGTTATTGGTTAACTGGACCAAATGTTCTTGCTCAAACCAAAGTATAAAATGTGGTGTTGACCAGCCAATAGGGCCGTTTCTTTACTTTTTTTGGGTGCTTTGTGAGAATTTCACACTCTATCACAATAAAAAGCTTCTTTGTGCAGATCCTTGTTGTCACTCTGTTATAAAAGAATTTGCTCATGCTTTTAGCTGTGCATATATTGAGTTATGGATGCACTTGGGAAGTTGGGAGAGCACTCAAAAAGCTAGAGTTACTCTTGGCTGCACATCAAGCTACTCTTACACATTTTTCATGCTCTCCAAACTTCCTGCATGCATCCATAACTCAATATTCACACATTAAGCAAGAACAAATTCTTAATTATGCTCCAGGCTTAGATCACTTGTTAATTGGTAGCATGAAATTTATTTAACCCATTAATTCCAATGAGGGACCAAGACAGAATTTCTCCTTACAATATCTAGCAGACAAGGAATGAGAATAAAGAAAAAATAACCATGAGGGGACTATTAGTTGATCCAATACAAAATTCTCCAAACTAACATCATAAGAACTGTATAGCAGACACTCATGAGAATTACAAACAAGACATTATGAGTGAATGAAGGAAATCAATTACCTGGCAAGCAGTGCTTCCAAATTAGGTTTATAATCCTACAAAGTTCAAATAGAGACAAGAGAAAAAGTAACAGTAAGTTACAGGATGAAAATTTTCTCCTCAACATGATCAACAGATGTGTCTACACTTGATATGATTCAACTGCTATCAAGCTGTATTGTACTTTGTAAGGTAACCTATACCCATGTATATTAATCCTTTAACTCCCAAGATCTAATTGTTAATTCTCCCCT